TTTGAAAAAAAAAAAAAAAAAAAAAAAAGTTGGTTTGCTGTCTATGGGCGCAGTCCCAATGGCAAAGAGGATTGGATTAAGCGCCTGAATCTGGATGTGTTTTATGCAGAGATGCTGGAAAGCAGATAAATACCGATTTTCTTCCCTTATCCACAAACCCGTCCAGATTCAGGCGTTAAATCCAATCCTCTTTGCCAGTCCGACCTCGCCCCTGAAGTTGTCAGCAGTAACAATAGTTTTTTGTTTTTTGTTTTTTTTTCCCCTCCAAAAAATTTGGACCTTTTCTCGATTTATGCGTGCCATCATCCTTGCGCAGTGTCCATGCTAATTTACCCTTCTCTGTATCGTTCCAATTTTAACGGATGTCCCGAAGGACATGAGCAATAGTTTAACCAAGCTCTGCTGGAGGATATCGGTGGGGAACCTACAGTAGGGGATTGTCTTAAGGGATCCCGGTAGGAAGGGGGTTAGTAGACACACTCTGGTGGAGGAAATCGTTCGGGAACCTACAGTAGGGGGAGGGGAGGGGGTATCCTCCAAAAGAGGATGGTCTGGGTCCCATAAATTAGTTGCTGACTGTAAAAAAAAAAAAAAAAAACCGGTACCTGTCGTGGGTCCAGAAACCGACCTCTACAACACCCTGGGCTTTTTATTAAAAAAAAAAAAAAAAAACAATAGTTTTTTTTTTTGTTTGTTTTTATAACTTTTTAACCTTTGGTTGGTTAAAAACAATACTTTAACCAACCAAAGGTTAAAAAGTTACAAAAACAAATATAAAATATAAAATAAAATAGCATGAGTAGAAACAAGCAATGGTCGACACTTTCTTCCCCCACACAAATCAACTGATGTCAGCAGTACATCTCCACGCCTCTCTCTCTCTCTCTCTCTCTCTCTCTCTCTCTCTCTCTATCTCTCTCTCTCAACAAAGAAAAATAAATAATAAAAAATATTAATAAAACTAAATACTAAATATTAATAAATAATAAATACCAAAAAAAAACACCATATCCACGTGTCTTGCATACTCTGGTAAACGAAAAGGGTGCACAAAAGGCTGGATTGGCTTGCAGAAGTTGTGAATAGTTTATATAAGTATGATTACATGCATCGTAGAAGACGGGCTCCGATGAAAGCTGTTCGATTTCCTCCAATTTCATTTCGCACTCGTTGATGAAGTTGGTTCCAAATTTAACCCACTCGCTTGCCGCCTCCCTTTTCGTGTCGCATAACTGCCTCCTCCATAGTCACGACCACCACAACCACAACCACAACCACCGTTAGCAATCATCAATCAATGACCATAATTACCACTAATCATCGTCATCAATCATCAATCATAATCATAATCATCAATCACAGAGCACCAATGGCCAATCATCAATTATCAATCATCTTAATGAAAATTCATATCACCGATCATCAATCATCTTTTTTTTTTTTTTTTTTTTTTTTTTTTGACAGACCCCTGCTCTGCTAATAATAACGACAGTCCTGAAAAAACTCTGCCTCCACCCAAAAAACATGTCACAGACCTACAAAGCCAAACAAACCACGAGGGAAAGATAACAGACGGACCAACAAAGGGCGAAAGGACATCAAAAGGGAAAGGAAAGGCAGGGAGGGAAAAACGCCCAAGATTGGTCCTCCAAACCCTACATTAGACTACTCAAAGCTATCTAAAACAAAATCCACTGCCTCCCGGCCAAAAACCCAAACAAACAAGAAGCTATCAGCCTAGTCTACAACAAACCAAAAGACCTAACTAGCCTCAGAAATTTAAAGCACCATTGACCATATAGGGTCTCGCTCCCTCTTTTTTTTTTTTTTTTTTTTTTTGGGAACAAGGCTCCAATCTATTAGTGGGGAGCAGCACGTGCTGGGAACCGGGCCCAGCGTCCCATATGGAAAATGACATATAATTTTGAAGATTGAGATACCGGGGCCATTACCCGGCTTTGGCTCAGAAAAAATTGAAGCTACTTAGAAAATGACTACGACAAACTTCAGAATATGAACAGAATTCAGAAAACTACTCAGAACCCCCCCCCATCCATCCACTTTTACCTCACTCCGGCAAGACTTACTGCAGCAGAGCCACCATCTCCGCTGCTGCTATGCCCTATTCCCATCCTACCAGCTAGCCCCCTCACTAGTAGGACGCGTGATATCCCACCATCTCCCTCCCCACTCCCCCTCATTCTTTTTTGGCTCAAAAAGTTGGAGCTACTTAGGAAATGACTACAACAGGCTTCAAGAATCAGCAGGATTCAAAATCCGACTCAACCCCCCCCCCCCCATCAATCCTCTGTTCCTCGCTCCGGCAAGACTTACTGCAGCAGAGTCACCATCTCTACTGCTGCTATACCCTATTCCAATCCTACCAGCTAGCCCCTCCACTACTGTCCACTGTATAATTTTTTGGACAGTTGGTGGACAGTTGTCAGAGCGAAATATTGTACAGCGGACAGTGGAAAATGCGACATCGCTCCACTTACTGTCCACTGTACAACTGAGCAGATCTTCTCGAAAACCCGCACGTACAGTGGACAGTTGTGGAGCGATGACGCCGCTGTCCAAGCCAGAAGCGTCGTGGGACATGCGGGTCCCAATTTTTTTTGGCGCGAATCCTGAAAGTGATCTGGCCTCTGCCAAATCGGAATGGCCGTTCGATTTCGTCATCGCAAGGCTCGCGGTATACCGAGTAGTGTGTCCGCAGAGCTGGGCGGACATCCGAGCAGTGTCCCGGAGTACCAGTGCCACAAAGCACTGTACAAAAGTTGGAATGGCCGGACAGTGCAAAACTCCAAAACTTGCACACTTGTCCGCCCAGACTCCAGGCTCACTGTCTGAAACGGCGGAGGGTTCGTGGATTCCTAGGAGGACCGTCCAGGAAATGACTTGTGCAGGCTGGGAGCTGTACAAAAATGGACAGTCGACGTATCACGCGATTTCTGACAACTGTCCGAGGGATTTCGCACATGGACAGTGGACAGTAAGTGGAGCGAAGTCGAACTGTCCATTTTTGTACAGTGGACAGTAGTGGAGCGAGACCCATAATGGCACTAATTCGTGCTCCTGCCTGCTGCCTAGTTCGGCAGGCTGGTCCTTGGACGCAAGCCAGTAGCACTCTTACCACTTCCCAGACCAGGACAGCAGCCTAGATTTGGCCTTTTCTGTTCCTAGAGTTTACTCTGCCTTAGCGAGGGTTGCTCGTAAGCTAAACTGGCTGATGCTGCCAGGATAACTCCGAGTTGAATTGTGAGGTCCCCGGCCTCAATTTGACCGGTATAATACAATCTTTGAGTAGTAAAAAAAAAAACGAAAGTGGTGTGGTGAGGCCCTTAGGGCCTACCGTCTTACCCCGAACACAACGCACCCTTATTTGGCTGTATCTGGCCGGAAATATAGCTGGTATACATTCATTTTTAGGGTGCGTTATGTTCGGGGGAAGACGGTAGTTGCACTACTCGCCATCCGCCACACCAGCTCGGAAAGTAGTGTGGTGAGGCTCTTAGGGCCTACCGTAACGCACCCTAAAAATGAATGTATACAAGCTATATTTCCGACCAGATACAGCCAAAATAAAGGTGCGTTTTCTTCGGGGGAAGACGGTAGTTGAGGCCTTGTCGCACTACTCGCCATCCGCCAACATTTTGATTGCATGTGGACATCGCTTTGTCCAGATGCATTCGAAATCTTGGCGGATGGACATCGCTTTGTCCAGATGCATTCGAAATCTTGCCGGATGGCGAGTAGTGCGAGGAGGCCCTAAAAATAACGAAAAATCATGGCGAGTAGGCATCACGGATGCTGCTCCCCAGGAATACATTTGCTCTCACTCACCACGATCTGGGTTCAGCAGAAAAGTTAAGGGTTGTCGGAGTTGGTGGAACTGCGAGCTTGACTCGAAAGCAAAACCGGCTGATGCTGCCAGGATAACTCCGGGTTGAGTTGTGAGGTCCCCCGCCTCGTCCCAATGCTTTTTTTAAATAAAATTGGAAGCTTTTCAAAAAAAAAAGAAAAAAAAAAAAAAGAAAGAAAGAAAGAAAAGGTAAGTGTTGTCGGAGTTGTCGGAGAGATCTACACCGTGAAGCTGAATACTCTCCAGAAAGCCATTTTGTGGAGGGGACACTACCGGTACTAGTAACCTCCACTCCTTTTTTTTTTTTTTTGTTTCTTGGCTGAAGCCGGGGTAATGGCCCCGGTACCTCAAAGTTGTTCCCTACAAATTTCATATGGGACACTGGGCCCCGTTCCCAGCACGTGCTGCTCCCCACGAATAGATCGGAGCCTTGTTCTCAGAAGAAAAAAGTAAAAAAAAAAAAAAAAAAAGGCACTCTCAACCTTTTCACAGAAGAATAATCGTGAACAATCGACCTTCATTCGTAGGGCGGATCGGAAATAGATCGTGCAGCCTATGTCTAGAGGGGGTCTGGCAATCTTCGATGTGGAAGATGGGGTAACAGTGACCATCTGTGACGCCCAACCTCACGCCCAGCGCGACTTCCTGATCGGAGTGGGGTATGGGCCTGGAAGTGCGAAAAGGGGTGTGCCAAGGATTTTTGGGAAAGTGGGGGAGTCTTAAGGGTATGAATACAATTAGGCGAATAAGGGGCGCGTGCGCAAGGGACTCAAGGTCTGATGGGGCCGGGGCACTGTGGGCGACGGTTTACGGGGAAATCCCTCCGCGGTGGAGGCGGTCCCGAAAAGTTAGGGCGTCGGGGGCCGCCACGTGGCGCAGGCCGCCGCGTACCTGGGTTGGGCCTTCGGAATTCCGGAGTTCTCTGTTCGCCGCTACGTCGGCAATTCACACAAAACGTATTGGGCCAATAGGGGGCTATGGCCGGCCACGGAACGACGCTAAGTTGATGATACGGGAGAAGAAGGCGGAAAGGACGGAAACTGGTGGTGATGACAACAAATCCCGGGTGGGTGAAGTAGTAGGTGTGGTCGGGGGAAGGGAAATCAGAGCACCGAGGGTCGCTAGAGGTGGTGCAGTGGAACTCCCGCAGACATAGTCGATTCTCCGTGTGACAGGGGTATCGTGTTCTTATGAGCTCGTTTATCAAAGGGGTGAAATAGTCCGTGTCGTAGTATGAATCTGAGCTTCAAGATCGCGTCATGGTACCATTGTCGATGGGATAGCTCGGGTCGAGATATCGTTACCGCGCACGAGCACGTGCAGTGTGCTCGCACGGGATGACGGTTCCGCCACGAGTCTTTTCGGGTGAGCGAATCGCCGCACGGGAACGCGTGTAAGGGTGTGACTCGGATCGCGTTTACACGTGTTCTCGCGCGGTGATTGCAGGGCCAGACTTCGGATCGTCTAATCGTTTCGTAAGTTTCGATTATGCGAGGTGCAACCATAGCACAACTCCATCGTGAGACAAGCAAAAACGAGAACAGAATCGCTATCGGGGCAAGATTCCTATCCCATGTACAATTGCCTCAGGTGTGGGCAAAGATTCGACACAAACAAAAAGCAAGGACAGGGATTCTCAGCAAAAAGATAGACAAGCAGGCATAACGTCCACACATCCATACATTCGATAATCACACATATGATGCGAGCAAAGACAAGTGTGAGCAAAAACCCAAGTCCAGATTTCAGAAAGCCGAAACGGAAATAAGAACGGGCAAAACCGCCCGGAGCCGCAATCAAAATGTATGTACACAAATGAAGAGGGGGAAGAGACAAAGAAACAACAAATCCGCGTCCATCGACCTCAACTCTCTCCTTCTCTCTCTTTCTCCTCCGATGCGGACAGTCCGTCGTCACGCACCTACCCACGAAGTTGTCACCCCGCTTAGTCCTCCCGCACCCGTCGGATTCGCCCGTGCCCACAGTCCGTCGTAGCCCACGTCAATCCCGCGCGTTCGGCACCAGTCCGTCGAGTCGCCCAACTCCTACTCTACTCACCTCTTACTTCGCTCGTGTGCCGACCCTTCCTGATGGCGCAACCCCGAACTTCCAACAACGGGTTAAGAGAGTTGACTAATCGCGCAACCGAAATTTATAGCGTGCATGCATGCGCGAAGATCACGGAATTGCCAAGACTTAGAGTGAAGATTAGAGAGGGCGTGCCTGCGTTCTGCATGACCGGGCCGCGGCGTGGGGGACGTAACCCTTCTCCACGCATCGATCCGAGCATGCAAGCCGCGGCCTACGAAAATTTCAGCAAAAGGAAGAGAGGGAGGGCGGGAGAGACGAAGTGCAAGAAGAAAGATA